AAAAAAAAAAAAAAAAAAACAAGTCGTGCTTGTTACGTCGTACAATTTTGTCAGGATATTCATAGGTTTATCGAATGCACGAATCAACTGAGACGAGAGCGCGGAAGAAACTTTGAAAGAAGAATGTTCGAAAAAAATTGACGCAACGCTCGATTCAGTTCCGCGCGACTAGAATAGAAAAAAATTTTAAAAAAGTGCGATGAAACGATAAAACTAACAGTGTCTTTGCCGCGGCAAATCCACCGGGGAGGACGAGTGCCTCGTGCATGCAGGCCTTGCACTCGCACAGCGGTTTTATTTCCGATCTGGCCAATCTGGCAGCCTCGACCATCCCGTTTCTCGACGGGCTTTTCGAATCTGATTGTTTAGTGATGTGATCGACGGTGTCACAAATGTCTATGTCCGGCGCGTAAAAACACGGCACCATATCTTTCTGGCAGATGTGAATCGACGACGATATGGCCTCGGATATTTCAGTACCATCTAGATAACCGCAACCGCACAGAATCTGTAGCGAGAATATTTTTCGAGTATATATATATATATATATCGAGTTGCGAATTTCGAGGTCGAGAAAGAATTTTCACAACACATGATACATGTAGAACGTGTGTGTAAAATACTTACAACGGCCACGGATACAGGTTCGCAAGTTTCTTCCTTCTTTCTGTCAGCGGTTCGCGACGTGTGAAAACTAGACGAGAAAACGGATCGAAAAAATACGGATGATTCATTTTGCAACAGGATTTGCGGCAGGATTCGCGTACGTATCATAATAAACGACGTTGAAATTTTACTTGACCGAAGCTACGTTTGACGAGCCATTTTAAACAGCAAATTTCTCCATTTTATCAATCAGGCGATATTCGCCTGTTTCGTTTCAGAGGAAAGTACGAAAGTTTTTGTTCGTTCTGTTCGTGTCAAGCTTCCGATCGACACACAATTCTAATTCGCCAGCAAGATTTGAATCGGTAGCACAGAGAAACGTACTGTTCGATGTGATCAGAGGCGAAAAACGATTTTCGCAGATTTGAATTTGAAGTTGCGAGCGTTGGCTGTAGAGGGCAGGGTTTCTCGGAATTACAGCAAGAGCCCTCGATGCGATCCGCGCCAACTACTTTGCGAGTTGCGATGGCTGCCCTGCCCGATCGATAAGTCAGTTTCGCCGGATTCGGTTGGGAGCCGTGCTAGCACGCGAAGTGAAAATCGCGGGGGAAAGCGAAAGAATGGGGATGGAATGACGGCGAGGAGGCAAAAGGGGGCGAGTTCAAAGGGTCTCTCCTGCGCTTAAATAAACATCGGCAAGGTAGGCTGAACTTACTTTATGGCTCGTATAACCTTTATCGTGCTCTAGGAGCAATTTTCGCTCAGACTATGAATACGAAACGCATTATAGGGAGCGGTGTAGAGATTTAACAACGGCATGAGAAACGGCATGCGCGCACGCTCGATGGTAAATCCTCTCCAGCTCATTAAAATATATACGATATAGTAGAAGCGAGAGTGTCCGGGAGGAGAGAAGATATCGTCCGTTTTATATTATAACACGCTCGTCGAAAGTAACGAATTGCCTCGTCGTGCGTGAGCATTCCCTAGAAGGGGATTTCGGTGATAACAGTTAGTTGGTTTCGACTGGTTCGACAGGAACGGTCACTCGGTCTCGGCCGATAGTAATTATCGAGCAGAGAGAGGAGCGGTATAGCCGCCGAGTACCGTTTCGTTGCTCCCTTTTCCGCGAGACGTACGCATAATCTTATGTAAATCCCGCCGGTTTCCCTTACGCCGGCACGGTGTTTCCCCGCAACGGTGTGTAAGAGAAGCAAGTTACGTGGGTCGGTTCTCTCGGGTTACACGTGGAAAGGGATGCTTAGACGACGGTTCGCAGGCTGGGATGCTTGGACGCGGCAGCAGGCTGGGGCTTATATGAATGTTAAAATAAGTTTGAAATTGTCGCGGACAAGTTTAGTCCCGTGGGAGTGCCAGCTGTCGAGTAATTCCACTGTGCCGGCGCGGAGCGGAACGGCGGTTTCGGCCCTTTGCCGAGTTTCCCATCACTCGCGAGTTCGCAGCAACTCTTTTCATCAACGCTTCGTAATCTTTGCTTTGCTTCGTCTTTGTCTCGTCTGATCGGCTCGCGCGTGATACAGCGTAATAGGCGAGAAACGTGCGAATAGGGTTGGCAGCAGCGGCAGTCTCGCGGAAGCAAAGTTCGCGGGAGGAAGCGACGGGAAGAGCATAGTCGCTGGCAATATTCCCGGCGACGCGACGTTTTGCCGAATGACAGGCTGGTGACATTCGTCGGAGGAAGGGATCATCGTCGACATCCTCGACTGGTTTAGTTTAAATCACCAGTTCGCCGTGAAGGCGTAGTAGCACTGGTACGCTTGGCCGGGACGATTTTCGAGGGTCGTCGGGGAGTTGGAAAGGGTGGAAAAGGGAGAGGGAGAGAGAGAGAGAGAGAGAGAGAGAGAGACGAAACACCGAGTGGGAGGTTGATGGGTAAATGCGATGTGATGCGAGTAACTGAGTGGCTAATTGAATGAGGTGCCTCCCAGGAGCGTCAAACCGTCGCGTGTCACACGTCAGAATTTCCGGCCTCGGAGCCCGGAAATTACGACGATTGTCGGTTCGCTGCCAATTATCAGCTCGCGATATGATTGCGGGCGGGATCGCGCGCGACTCAACCGTGAGTCGTTTCTCCGAATGCGGATATAGCTGGCCGAACGACAGAGAGCCGGTCGAGAGAGGAACCGGACTGAACCCTGTCAATCATTAATAATCCATCAAGCGTATCGATGGCTCGATCTCTCCACCGATACTCCGATTCCGAGGGAGAACACGAAGGGGGAAATGATCGTTTGTCAATTTCTAAAAGTCCCGTCGATTGGCCGTTGAGCCGTGTCACGGCGCGTTCATCTATTACCTAGGCTTGCGAAGCTTCGCGCGCGTAAATCGCTTTATTCTCCGAGAGAGAGAGAGAAAGAGAGATTATCGTTAATTCGATTTTTCGTTCATTTGCCACGTCGTTTGTTAAATTCAGATCAACTTTTTTTTTACGTGCTTGTAAATGAACTTACTTGAACGAGTAAGAGTTATTTTAAATAAATGATAATAAATTCGAACTTTCGCGTTCGATTCTGTTCGAAGGGAGAATTTACAATCGTTAAATCGCGTGAGAGCGTTCAGAGAATCGGCTCCAGGCGGAAGGAGGCTGTGATTTTGAGAATTGGCGAGCGTTTTCGGGGAATCGGAAGAGAGATGGAAGAGTAGCTAAGCGCAGGAGAGTTTGCAGCATTGCGGGCTGCTAAAGCAGACTGCTTATGCATTCTTGGCGCGATGGCAATCGCTGGGATGGCGGATGTTGGCAGGGGTTGGATGCCGTGCGAGAACCAGACAAGAGAACAATTACGCGCCGTCAGCCCCGTGACCGGTACGATGCCATGAGGCGAATCAAAACTAGGTGTGCTATCACCCCTGGGCCAGCTCCATCTTCGCGCACCGAGGCCACGTTCCTCGTCCCGGAGGGGAAAGATCGAATCTCGATCGGTAAGCGAAGTTGGCAGTTTCGACGGCTGCTCCGCACTACCAATTTACGTAGTCTTGTCACAGGCTAAGTTTACGCATTTCTCTCTCTTTTCCACTTACGCTCTTCACTTTCCCTCGTTGTAAATGTGTTGTTTTTTTTTCTTTCATTTTTGTTAAATATTTGACCGTACTACTGTTAAATTTGCAACACTGTAAATTTTCTAGAAAATTACATATCGAGACAAATTTTGTAAAGTCCCGGCCTCGAACCCTTGTCCCTTTTTCCT